GAATGCACTGTTAAATAATTGAACTCCAAGACAGCCCTTCTCACTCCAACTAACTGGAGAGGGGGGAGCATCATGTGCATATGGGGGTTTAACTAGGTCAAAGGGTGTGAAGGAAACAAAGACCTTGGAGGTTTGCAAAGCCAGACGCCCAATTTCCAGTGTAGTCCAACAGGCACTTCTTGTCATGAGCAGAACTATAGTTAGAACTACAACTAAAGGGTAGGCGAAACAGCAGGTGAAATTCAGCCACGCATACTGCTCAAATACAATTTAGACCATCAAATGGTGCTTAGGTCCTGGGCAGACTCTGCAAAGGAGTGCCCGTCACCTGATGATGTGTGCCCATATGGCTACATGACACACGTTACTGATGTTTATTGGTTTGCTTTGGTCTTTGAGCAAAACACAATGCCCCCAACAAAGTGCACGGCCTTTATCAACAGGGAAGTAGATGGCAGGGTTTATCTGCCTGTTGACAGAGGAAACAGATTGGAAATGTAATTACACTCATTAATTTTACATCTTTAATTCATCTGTTTTTATATGCTGCAATTTCAAAACAAGCCTCCAGGCACTAGTAAAACGATGATGCAAAGAAAGCAGTTATTTTATCCTGTCGAGAGGAGGGTTTGCACTAAATACTCGTGTTTTGCATACAGGGAGTTAGGCCTCCTGGGATCCTGAACACAGCACATAGTGCTCTCTGGAAATTCTCCCCCTGCCTGGACTCTGCTTTATAAAAAGTTCACACACTTTCCTTGAATCATCAGGGTTTGATGCAATCCGCTGTGAAGCATTAGCTCTAAATATACGACGGGGAGGCCAGTTCTGTCTCAGTGCACACACCAATCCCGCCACCCCCATTCTAACTGTCAAGAATGCCAAAGCAGAGAACACAACTTGCAAGAGTAAAACTCTCCCCCACCACCACCACCCAAAAATAAACCACCTCTCCACCAATCCAAATGAGCTTCAGGAAAAACAAGAGCTAGCTATCAGGGCTCACCAACATTCTATCTTTTGGTGTGAGCAAAGATAAAGGGCACATTGGCAGGAAATGAAGGAATCCTAGCTACCCACAGACATCATGCAAAGCAGCTCCTGTCCTTCTTTGCTAAACTGGGGCTGCAAAAGAACATTCTGCTTTGTAAACTTGCTTAGGTGATGGCTGGCCATTCCAGTCATATACATGGTTCAAATCCCAAGCACACCAAGGGATAACTAAAAAAAGTATGTTCAGTCCAAGAGACACAAAATCCAACCTCCACAAGGGAAGTAAACTGGTCTGTTAAGACAGCCCAAGTTCACAGCTAGGTCATTACCGCTCAGCAGCTTTCTCTCTTCGCACAATAAACACATTTTCCTCCTTCGGCCCACTTGTGCTTAAGGAACACAATAATCATCAGAAGCATTTAGAGCAAGAGGGAATTTGCTGGTATCACTTTCTCGGTCAACAGCTGTAAAGTGGATGTGCATGAAACTTGCAGCCCCTTCTGTTACACTTTGGTGGTGATGCCAACATATTCCTCGCTCGACTGGCAGCACCAAACCCTGCCTAAGATCTTTTTTTTTTAACCTGTCATTAAGCATCCACTTTTGGTCCAACTCACTGAGCTGTTTCTCCTGTTTTTTAATTACCTGTTGAAAATAGAGCAACACTGCGACTACTTGCAGTCAGAAAATCCTTACACGCAACTCACACACCCGTTTAGCACCAGAGCTAAAAACACTGCCTTGAAGAAGCCATTTTTGGCACCAACAGCTGACTCTGAGCACTTGTTTGCTTCTGGAACAGGTGGACTGTATATTAAACAAAAATCAGGAGACTTTTACCGTATAGTTTACAAATATAAATGATTGTAGAATCAAACATATTAGTGAACAAACTTAACCCAAGTCAAACTAAGTCGAGTCAAATACCAATCGATTACAATGAAGCATCCATACATATATTTTCATGCGAGACGGGTACAAATCCAACCTGTGGGTCCAAATGCCTCCGAATTTTCAGAGAGTTGAGGGGGGGTCATTCAAAATCCAAACTTGGCTCTGAATTCCAGAAAGGGTTGTTATAAACCATGGAATGTTCAAACTCCAGCTAGAGGCCTGTCTATATTAGCTGTTTGCAGCGTTGTAGTCTCAGGATAGGAGCGAGCAAATCTGACGAAGACCACTGTGCAGCTCGAAAGCTTGTCTCTTCCACCAACAGAAGTTGGTCCATTAAGATATTACCTTACCCGCCTTGTCTCTATATTAGAGAAGTTTATTCTAGTGTAGCAAATCTGATGTAGCTGTATCACATTGATGTAAAACAGGGCTTGCATTGACACAACTTACTCCACTGGTGTAGTTGCATTAGTGCACATTTCCCTAATGTAGACAGGCTCTTCAGATTTTCTACAGTGCCCATAACTGTATTATTATTATTTATTCAGATTATGGTAGCACTTCAAGGCCACAATGGAGATCAAGGCCCCTCTGTGCTAGGTGCTGTACATACACAGAGTAAGAGACAGTCCCTGCCCCAAAAAGCTCACAGACTAAGGCCTGGTGTACACTTAAAAATTAGATCGACCAAGCTACGTTGCTCAGAGCTGTGACAAATGTCATACCCTAAGCACCAAAGTTAAGTCGACCTAACCTCCAGTGTAGATGTGTCTAGGTCGTCGAAAGGATTCTTCCGACAACCTAGCTACCGCCTCTCGGAAAGGTGGATTAACTACATCCAAGGAAAAACCCTTTCCGTTGATGTACAAAACGGCTACACTACGGTGCTCCAGGGCACAGCTGCAGCACCGTAGCTGTGCCACTGTGGTGTAGACATCATCTAAACCTGGCTGCGAGAACCCAAATGCTCCAAGCCTGAGTTTTGCAGCCTGGGGCCTCGGCGTGTTTGTAGAAGGGCATTTTAGCAACCAGCCAGGTGTCCAAGCCACTGCCAATTACTGGGGTGGACTATCAATTATTCTGGTTGTTGCATTTAGCCATTTAGTAGGCCTTTGCAGAAACTTAGCATAACTAAGGCGAGGGGGGAGGGCGCTTTAGCTATCACAAGAAATGGGCTTGACGCTACAACCTCCCTGATATGCTGGGGTAAGCATCTGTGAAAAACAGGAAGTCTGGATATATTTCTGAACTGCTGTTCTAGGGAAATAGGATGCCCAGACTGACTGCTTGCTTAACAATTATTTTTTTAAAATAATATATTTGTGTAACATCTGCTTTTTGCCTACTGACTGATTCTGTTTGGTCAGCCACGTAACATTTTCTTGTTTGACATGTCTCGTAACTTTTCAGGTATAAGAGGGGAACTGTGGGTTTGGGTCAAGCGGATCGCCTCGTGGACTCATCAAGACCTCCAGCCACAGTCGAAAGGTTGGTTACCGGAAACCTGCAATTGAGTCCCCTGAATACCGCTCCAAACTCCTGAGGGGTAATTATCTGCTTAGGGTGTTCTATAACCTATGGTGTTTGTATGTGCTGGACACTAATAAAGTGTCTGGCTTTAAAGTGAAAGCACATGGTTTAGGTTTGTTTGTGTCAGCCATACAGCAGACGGAAGTGCTGCATCTCCCTTGGTTTATCCTGATACCACCTTGCATAGATTAAAGTTACCAAGAGCTTTGGGCTCAGGGGAACCTCGGGTAACATGTTGACAAGTTTTAAGAGTAGAATTTTCCATCCAAATCTCCTCTTCTATTTGGCTTTCAAATACTCAACTGGCATCAAACATGTCCTGAAAGTCTCAGAATCAGCTGCCCCCTTTCTCTGGGGCATCAAGGCCACAGCCGTGCCAAGACTTATGCACTTCCTTAACTTTATGCCTCATGAGGCATTCTATTGACTTTGACAGGGCTGCAGGCAGCACATAAAGTTAAGCGTAAGTATGCGTAAGTCTGTTCAGGCTCAGGGCCTATGCGATAGTAAAGTAGTAAGCATTCCGCACCCACCCACGTCCACAAATACTGATTTCTCCTTCAGTGTGCTGTCTGCAGAGAGCAGCGGGGCAGGGGGGGGGAGGGCAAGGCACTCAGGCACACTGGCTGCCACCTGACCCTGTCCTGCCTTTATTCATAGCCAGACAAGTGAGTCCAAACTCATTCCTGAACTGCATTAGCAAATGTTTCTGCAATTAAAGCTGTCAACATTCATGTGGGGCCCCCTAAACAATAGGGGCCTGTGCCCTGGATTGAATAGGCTCTACTGTCCCGCCTGCCTGCCTGCCTGCGGAGGCTGCACATTCCTGACACCCTCTGGGACTAGGGCTGACTGAGATATAGATATATTCTTAAAACCATCTTGATTCCAAGGCCACAGACACCGACACTCCCCATCGCCCTGCCCCGGTCCCTGCAGGCCGGGGCATCTCTCAGCCCAGCCCTCCTGAACAGCAACCCCTGAGGGTGCCTGCAAGCCCCTCCCTGGCCCCCAAGGCAGAGTGGCATATACTGCGGTGCGGAGTCCCTGGCCCCTCTGAACCTAGAAATGGGGGTGTATAGGGAGCGCTAAACACAGGCAGCCTCTGGAGAGAGCGCTCTGCCCCAGGGGGCTGCTCAATTGGCTCCCAGCCCAGCCAGGGACCCGAGCCCAGAGCAGCCGGGATGTTCCTCCCGCTTTCTGAGCTGGGCCCGCTGCCTGAGGACCCCCTCCCCTGCTACCCCATGCACTGGGGGGCAGCTGGTCCCCTCTCCCCTGAGACCCCATGCACCTGGGCGCAGTGAGTCCCC